ATGTAAACAATACCTCTTACCCTAACCTAAAGCTAAACCTAACCTCTACCCTTAAGGTTATTTAATTTTTAATAAAACTTTTATAATACCGGGTGATATCACCACGGGTGAAAATTAGTTATAATTATAAAAAATATAGTTATGAAAAAATTTTTTTTAGTAAAAAAACAAGAGAACAAAGTTATAGAATTTGTTTTTTAATTTAGTAGATTTTAATAGTGCTAATACCTTTTAAAGCTATTAATAAAATAGAAATTTGGCTATTTATATACTGTATAAAAATATAAAATTTTAAAAACCATAAGTTATTTGGCTTATAGGTGTAGAAGATAAAAATAAAATATTTTAATTTGTTTTAGAAAATAATTATATTGTATATTTAGAATTTAAAGAAAGTATATTGAAATTATAAAAGCATATAAACAATTAATTAATAATACAATAAATTAGCAATATTGCAAAAAATAATTAATAAAAAATAATAATTTTATTTAAATCTTTCAAGATAGTTAATTTAACAAAACAGATATTTTGAAATAAATTATATCAAAAGTTAATTAGCTAATAAAATTAATAAATACATTCAATAATTAATAATATATATTTGCTTCTATTTATGATCCTCTGGTCAACAAATTTAAAAAAACTAAACTATGAAAAAATGTTATAGAAGATGCTAAAGTAAATAATAAACTTGGTCTTATGAAAGTAGATATGTTGTCAATGAAGTACCAAAAGTATAAAATCAAAGAGTGAACTACTTTGAACTAGTTTTTGTAGAGGTCAAGCTTTAATCAATAGACTCTTCTATTATATTTAGCATCCAAACCAGAAAGATATTCTGAAAATATAGAATGATTAGATTAATACTAGGAGTATTACAAGTTTTGGGTTATCTCTATACAACTATAAAACTTACAAGAAACAACCACAGAAAAGTTTCATTAGCTCACTACTTGTTTCAAGAAAATTTTGTCAAAAAGTGAATATCTCAGTTTATTTCTCTTAAAGATTGATATGTAAATTACCAAAACAGAAGATATTATTAATTATCCAAAACAGAAGGTTAGAGCAGTGACAGATATTATGTAATATCCTAGAGGGGTACCTGGAGATGATATTATATATATATAATTATTATTTTTTTTTTTAAATATCAAAGTGACCTCATGGTCGATTGCTTTTATTAGTTTCTATGCTAAGCTGGACAGCCAGCCGTTACTCATTTGGTATATAGTTTTAGAGAGTACAACTAGCCATATAAACAATTTTTGATATGATATGATGATGAAAACAAGTTGGAACGTCCAGGGACAGGACGGGGCGGAGGGGACGGAACAAGGCCAAAAATAGCCTGGGACGGTCAAAACCGCTTTAAGGAACCCCCAGATTGGTAACCTGCATTTATTAGTTCCTGCTTTAATACAGTAATATCGATATAATGAAAATTCAACACCAAATTGGTAAGTTTTGCATGCATGTACCTGAAGATTTACGCCCTGACGTGCTTTATACGTAATATTATAAAATTCATAATAAAATTTAATTAGTGTAAGAATTCTAAAATACGTACGTACGTACAGTACAAGCAAATGAACAAATACAAAATATTGCAAATAACATTATTGAAGATTTATTTAATCATCATCTAGTCCTAATAAGCTACAACACCACCAATTATGCATCAAAGTAAAAACAGGCAAACAATAGGAAAATAATGAAATTCCACCAAAGGCACCATTCATTCGTAAATAATAATCTTCGCTCTTTCTTCTTCCATTATTCAGTAACACTTCATCAAGAACGCTGTCATTCTCATCATCATGATGCATCTCGTATTCACCATTTGATAATTCAGTGGTAACAGCATTCATGTTCCTGTTTCGAGTTAATATGGGAAGGTTCCATTGATTTGATGCTGAGTTATTTTTGGAAGTAATACTTGAAGACTTCCACAATAACCATAATCCTTCATCTGATTCTTGTGGGTTATGAGTCGCATCAAGTTGTTCGTCATCCTCGTTTTCGAAATTTATATCGGGTGATAAATATTCCCCTGGGTGATAACCCAAAGTTGATAGTGGTGTTCCTTGAAGTTTGGTAATGATAATAACTCAAAATAATAGTAAGAGTCATTGTTTAGAATTAATTTATTAAATTTAAAAATCACCTTCAAATCCTACAGATTTGTCA